GCGGCTCTTTTAATAAGGATGGTGTAAAGTAATTTGAATTGCTCAAAACAAACAGGAAGAACCATCAATAATAGACGGTGCTAACACATTTTCAAATGAATTTTTCAAGAATGAGACATTTCATTAACGAATACTCGATTAACTCGGGTATAGAAAGTCTCTTTCAGTCCATTTCTATCTAATTTTTCGATAAGAGGACTCGCTAGTGGGGGTATAACAATTTTTTCTTTTTTCTATCATAAACTGATATTAATTTATATGTATTATGTAAAAATCTAAGGCCCTGAGAACAGTTCAACCAACCAAAAAAATGTAGCAGAGAAATATCGTAAAAGAGTCCCATTGCTTTCTGGTTTTTCCTCTTTTTTTTTTTGTTAAACATGAAAGAATCGCTTAAAAATTCTCATACGGACAAAAGTAACGCATTTTAAGGGCCCTTGTCGTAGTAAATATTTGATAGTGTACAATTTATTTAAATAATGATGTCTTTATTAAAATGGAAATATGTATACCTTTTATTAGTTCAAAATACGTCGAATGTTTCATCAGGACTACGAGTATTTGCAGAAAATTAGTGATACAGTCCTTAGTAGAGTTATTGAAAAAAATTGGACTTGGCAATTAAATAATTACACCTCAGACAGTTCTCTTTCTACTGCAAGCTGCATATCAATTTGCTTTACCACTTTTTTCCTAGTAATAATGGTATTAATTCCAAAAAATACTTCCATCGTCCTCTTCTGTACTATCAAAATGTTAGAGGTATCAACACAAAGTTACTTGAACTTACAATTCGCTATCCAGCTGCGCTTATGACGTTGTAGAATTCTCTGAGACATTCCTAAATTATTCTGTTTCGAATTCTGAAATTTCTAATGAAAGGTACATTATCTAGAGAAATGATAGTAAGCTGTGTTTGGTAGAAAGTCAAGGTGGAGGTGGTGTGTTACTCGCAGTTAATTCAAATTTGATCTCATGCCGATATAATCTTGATAATTTCAAATTTAATGCTTTACCATTAATTGATATTTTAGTTGTTAGAGTTTTTGTGGGTTCAACGACTACTAATTTCATTATGGTATATATTCCTACGGCCCCAAAAGTCACTGCAGCAGATATGGAATTGTTCTTTGAGCTACTGTCGTCTTTTTGTTTACTTTTGCATGAGAATGTAATTATAAGTATCTTTAAGCGTTTTTCAATCTTTTGAAATTCAAGTCACTTCTGGAGTATCACAGGGATCCATTCTTGGGCCTTTCTTTTTCATTATGTTTGTTAATGACATAGGTAAGGACCTGAATTCAGAATGTCTTTTATATGTTCACGATTTAAAAATTTTTAGAAAAATATTAACATATGAGGTTTAGCCAGAATTGAGACAAGGTGTATCCAAAATAGACTGTACTTGAACATTTCGAAATGTAATGCCGTGACATTTTCATTGAAGCTCTGTAACAACTTGTCTGATTATAAAATTGGCGACACCAGTCTGAACCGCCTCTCTTTCGTGAAAGACTTGGGAATTATATTTGATAAGAAACTCTCCTGCAACTAGAGAAAGTTCAAAGAAGATTTTTGAAATTTCTATACTTGAAGGCTTTTATCCGAAAAGAGGTTTTCCCTCAAATGATCTTTTTGAAAATTTTCTCCATACAAAGCTTAGAATCTCGAAGGCTAAGGTTTTCATTACGTTTTCTTCATAAGCTTGTCGACGGTGTAATCGATATCTATATTTTACTTGGAAAATTGTCTTTTTTGGTACCTCGATTTGGATCGCGTATGACTCGAAGTTATGTAATAAATTATTAATATGAAGTCAATGAATAAAAACATGAACATTAAAAAACAGCATAAAAAAACAATGACATAACCAAGAACATGTTTCAGTATTTGAACAGACATAAACTTTATGTTAATTTTTATACATTTTATTCCAAAGTTTCGTCCTGTGTTGTTTTCAAATTATCAATATTCCTCAGTTTTTTCGATTGCTTACTGGATCAAGTTGATCTGTTATAAAAAATACTACTTTCCATGTAAAATCTATCCGTAATAAATTTATTAAATAAAGATTCATTATTATTAAAAAATCACTCTACTCTTTGGTGTAAAATATTATCTCAAAAAGTTCTCGTTTCGAATTGAAGATTATCTGTAACCAAATCAGGAAATTTTGATCTTTGCCCATTTTAATCTAAGCAGTGAGGCAGCGGAGCAGTTTAATACCCGTCGTAGTGGGTACGGACACTACTTTTACGTGGGATAGTAACTTTCGACAATTTCTTTATCGATCTTTCTTTAGTAAATAATTTATTAGTGAATGTTCTAACAAGTTGCGTAGATATAAAAAAGAACAATAAAAAATTCTAAAAACTATAAAAATATATTTATAATAAGCATTCACGTTCGGTAGAAGTAGCTAACAGAAAGTTTTCTGTGGTTAAGTTGCAATCTTAAGATCACTAGAAATTAAAGATTGGTATCAACTGTCTAATTTTGTAATTCAAATGTCAAATCTGAATTGTCTGGAAAAAAAACGAAGTTTTTCTAATTTCAACACGCTTCGTTTGAAGAAAATCCTTAAATACAGCGTGGAAACAATTTCCACAAAAGTGGTCACGAGAAAGCTCATTTTAAAGGAAAAGAAACAAGAAATATTTCGTGGTTTTCAAAAAATTGGGTAAAACGGAAACAGTTAAACTGGTGGCAGAAATATTCCCGTAAAGTTCGCTAGTGTTGTCGAGTGTTTTTCGAATTTTAAAATAATACAGATACAGCGGCGCTTGTGCCGTTAATATTATAATCAGGATCAGAAAGACGACTGCGCAGATTTATATACCTACATGCTTTGTTGGTTCCGTTCTACAATTGGTTATTAAGTTTTATATAATCGTTATTGTTTTGTAAGAGGTAAAACACTCGGCTTTGAAAATAATTGTACGTAATACACGTATAAATTTAGGTTTCCGAAGGCGAAGTTTTTCACATTTTAAACACGTTATAGCTGCCAGAATCAAATTTCTAAGGCGGTACCTATCTCCAATTGCGTGATTGTGGTGAAGATTTACTTTTCATTTTCTTGGATGAGACATGGATATACCAAAACGAATCCATGGTAAAATTGTGGATCCATGATGATGACATCAAAGCTTGTCCTAGTAAAATAACTAGTGACGGGAAAAGATTCACAATTTTACATGCGGGTTGCTCTTTGGGCTTTTAGAGGGATACAATTTTCTCCTGGATTCAAAAATAGATTCAGCGGATCACCACAAAACCATCACATTTTCGATATTTGATATTTACTTACTTACATGTCACATTTTTGATAACTACTTTCTGACATTCCAATTATACATTATACACTAGAACAATTATGTCCGCAGTTACACAGCTTAAAAAAAAAAAGTTACCAAATCTAGTTTGTTTTTTTTTCTACCGAACGTGAATTCCTTATAGAAGGCATGTTTACTTACGAACGGATGGGTATCTTTAAAAAAAATAATAATCTGCAGTTGGGACTACACATTATAACAAAAGAAAAAGATTAAATGTCTGTAGGTAAGCGAACAAAAATGTTGCTGCCCCGGTGAGAATCGAATCACACGTTTCCCGCTTGCCGGGCGAGTGCCCTGACCACTAGACTACAAAGCGGCTTATCTGTCTTCGCTTACCAACCTACTATTGTGCCGCCAGATATCTATTTATTTTTTTGTTAATAAAGCCTAATATTCTATGTTACTCATCTCAGCAACAAAAAACGCCCAATTCAAACTTGCATGTCGTCTACCTGAAGATTTGGACCAGAAAGTGTGTATTTTTAGTTATAATATCCATCATTAACTTTAAAGGAAATAAATCTTAGTAAAAAACCAGAAAGATTAGTAACCGCAATGCCCATGCCCAACACGAAACTTCTGTATTCTTCTATATATTTTGTGTGGTGGTCATGCACAATGCACCACACCATTGGTGCAACTGCACAAAATGTCTAGGTGACGACAGTATTGAATGTGATCAAAATTTTTCGAAAAAACAACCATCCATTTATTATTTCATTCGAGGAATTTGATTCAGACTAAAAATTAAAAAATGATGACAATGACGGCTCAGATTTCTACAACAAAATAATGGATGAATAGTAACTTTTGATAATCATTTGATATACTGTTGACACTAACATTTTCGATAAAATTTAAAATAAAATTTCATAGTATACAAGACTTTTCAGACTGGAATGAGGAGTGAAAAAAGGAAAGAAACTCATTTTATCAACGTATAACAGATTCCGAAGTACCCGAAGGTGTACCTACTATGGAATCGCTTGTGCAGCAGCAGCGTGGCAGTTCTTTGAATGTAGATTCTAAAATATTTTGTAACTGCAGAACTGTTATCAGATGAGTAATAAATATCTAACTTTCGGGAGGTTTCTATTCTTCGAAATGTCCTTCAAATACACATTATTTATTTTTATGAACTACCAACGCTATTCTTCCTTTTGTAAGAAAATTGTCAATACCACCAAACACAAAGTAACCAATTTAGGTTTCAGAATTAACTGCTAATTCTGGCCAAATTACATCTACCTTTTGTTTAACTGTTGGATGCATATGTTGGGTCCAACAGACCCGCACCTAATTTAAATTTACCATAAAATGTTAACTCTGCTATTTTGCTTAAAATCTTCTATGTAATTTCCCTTTATGGTTATTATGATTCAGCTTTTCCACTTAAATTAATTCTCGCTTCATAATTTAACTTAGAAAATATTGAATGTTATAATCTCAGGTTTCTATTAATTATTAAAATAAAATGTTGATTTTTTTATCATGATTTTTTATAAACTTTCTATTGTTTCTCCTATAAATCCATGTTGAATTGCTACAAAGGCTTAAAAATCTAAGGTTAAGAAAGCGAAGAAGAATAAATGAATGAAGAAAAGAATATTTTAGTTATAAGATAAAGCAGAAATAGCAAGACAGTTTATTATAAGTGTGGACGACATATTTGCAAATTTTGCCAGATAAAAATATGCAAAATTTCGATCTTACTAGGTTATTTTAAAACATATCAACCAATTTTGCGGCAATTTTCGATCTTGGGTCTTTTATAAGGATCCATAAATCCATCGGCTTGCTCTACAAGAAAGTGTTGAATATCAATTTTGTAATATCACGCTATGCGTACCCTTTAGGAGATCAATCTGACGGCGACGGACTCGGCGCTTCTTAGGTTGGGAGGTTGTGGATGATGGGGACTGGAATGAGGGTGCCAATGGGGCTGAAATTGAAACATCAGCCTCAGCTTCTGCTCGGAAATCTAACGGAGTTGAAACAGCATCACCGACAGCGTCCTCAGTCGGGGGTGAGGGTGGAAGTTGAAAAGTCTGTGACTGGTCTGTGATAAGGGGTGCTAGCATTTGGAAGTGGTTCCTCGAATACAACCGAATAGAATCTAGTTGTTCGTTAGACAAAGTTCTTCTCAAGCATCGCCTAAAATGTTCTGTTGTAGTTTAATATGAAATTGATAATGAAATTAAATATGTAACTTACTTAGCAAATTCCCGAGTCAGAGCTTTGGTGAGGCCCCTATTCTGGAGGAACTCCTGAGGACGTACTTCTCTTATGAACCAAATTAACTGGAACCTCCTTTCCTCTAGGAATTGTCTTGTTCTGGAATACTAGAACGTAATAAGGAAGATACTGTATTTCTAAGATTTATGACTGTCTGAATGTTTTGGAACAGATTCTTACCATTTTTTGACGACTCTAGTCACAGGAAGAATACACACAGTCACATACAGACTACAAACTGTACAAATGGACAAACAAGAAATGAAATAAGACGCTAGAAATTTGTCAAAAACATCAGACTTGTGTCATTTTGACAATACCAGTCACGAAGCAACGGATAAAGACGGGAAGAACATTTATTTGAATGTTTTCACCTTTCTTACATGAATTTGAATGATTCAGTGGACTGCCTATTCTTCGAAGTTGTAAGGCCAAAAACTCGCAAAAAATAAAAAAAAAATCAAGAGGCTTTGAAAACATCTTTTATTATAACTCTTGTACCGAATAGAATTGTCCATTTACTAATATAAATCTCCAGAACGGGAATTCGCACCCAGAACAGGTCTCCGCAGTCTTCTATTTTTTTTTTTAATTTTGGAATAATTTATCCTTCCGGAAAATGACACCGTCCGATGTATCTAGCTTTTGAAGTTAAATGAATTCAGAATCCGCTCTCAAAATAAACCACTGTCTCTGAAAAATCCCACAGAAACGAGTGAGGCAAAGCTCTTTTCATTCCGGAAATATGAGTGTCTCGACTCAAAAAAAACATTTTTTTGTATTCGGAAAATCCGTGATTCCGCATGAACTTAAAGGAATAGCCAGCAAGTGAACCAGAAATGGATTTAAAAACCAGAACTTCAAGTCGAAACAACAATAGCAAAGATCTCAAGATTCATTTGAGTTTTTATGTGGTTGACCATACAATATATCGGTTTCTGAGCCTGAAAGCCTTCAAAGTAGGCTCTGAAACTAATTATTGCGGCTGAAAAATTCCAAGGAACCGATTGAGATAAAGCTCCAAACAGTACAACGTCGCATTATGGAGTTATGAGTCTCGCAACTGAAAGAACATTTTTTCAGATCCGGAAAATCCAAGATTCTGGGTGATGTTGAAGGAATCGTGTGCAATTGATAACAGAGGTGGATTCAGCAGTGCTATATTAGCCAGAATCCACAAAAAAGGCAAAAAAGATCTTTGGAATTTGCGCCCTGAAAATTAACTATTGCGACTGAAAAATTCCAAATAACCGATTACAACAAAGATCAAAACTTTGACTTTCCACTCTAGAGTCTTTGACCTCAACAAACATTTTTTCGGATCCGGAAAATCCGCGATTCTGGGTGAACTGGAAGGAATTTCGAACAACTGGTACCAAAAATGGATTCAGTAGTATCAAATTAGCTAGAAACCATAATTTTAGGCCGATATGAAGAATGCATACGCAGGAAAGATCTCCGGAGTCTCTCGAACTTTTTAAATTTTTATTTCATGTAGTCTTCCAGAAAATGGCGTTGTCCAACATTTCCGTTTCTCTAACCTAAACTAGTTCAGAAGTTGCTCTGAAAATTAACCGAGACAACTCAAAAATTCCAAAGAACCGATTGGAATAAAACCCGAACCGGTACACCTGACCATTCAGGATCTATGAAACCTCCAACTCAAAAAAGAAGAAGAAAAGGCCAGCAACTCATAACATAAGTGGATTCAGCAGTGCTAACTTATCTAGAAACCGGAATTTTAGGTCAATCGTATGCAGGAAAGAATTCCGGAGTCTCCTGAATTTTTTTAATTTTGTGTGATCTACACTTCCGGAAAATGGTGCTGTCCAACATATCCATCTCTCAAGCGTAAACGAATTCAGAATTGGCTCTGAAAATTAACCAATGTAACTAAAAAATCCAGAGCACGGATTAGGGCAAAATTCGAAACGGTATATTTTTCCATTCCGGACTCAAAAAATATTTTTCGGATTTGGAAAATCCGCGATTCCGGGTCAAGACTGAAGAAAAGGCGAGCAACTGATAACATGAATGGATTTAGTGGTGCCAAATTAGCTGGACACCACAATTTCAGGTCGACCTGAAGAATTCATACGCAGAAAATGACACTCTCTATCATATCCATCTGTGTAGCTTAAACGAATTGAGAACTGGCTCTGAAAATTAACCAGTGCAACTGAAAATTCCAAAGAATGGATTAGGTCAAAATTCGAAACAGTACGTCTTTCCATTCGGAATCAAAAAACATTTTTTTCAGATTTCGAAAATTCATGATTCCGGGTCAAATTGAAGAAAAGGCGAGCAACTGATACCGTAAGTGGATTCAACGGTGACCAATTAGCTGGAAACCAGAACTTCCTGCTGATCTCAAAAATCCATATACAAGAAATATTTTCGAAATCTCCTGGATTTTTTAATTTTTGTGTGTTTACCTTTCCGGAAAATGTCACTATTCAACGTATCAGGAGTAGCTCTGAAAATTAACCAATACCACTGAAAAATTTCAAAGAACCGATTGGAGTAAAGCTTGACACGGTAAGGCTTTCCTTTCCGGAGCTATGAGTCCGTCAACTCAAAAGACTATTTTACGGATTCCGGGCCAAATTGAAGGAAAGACGAGAAACTGATAACAACAGTGGATTCGAAGATTAGCTAGAAACCAGAATTTCAGATCGATTTGAAGAATCCTTACACAGGAATAATCTCCTGAATTTTTTGAAATTTTGCACAATCTACTCTTCGGGAAAATGACACTGTCCAACAGATTCGTTTCTCGTACTTAAACGAATTTATAATTTCCTCTGAAAATTAATCAATGCAACTGAAAAAATCCAAAAAATCGATTGGAACACTTCTATTCCGGAGCTATGAGACATTCAACTCAAAAAAAATTTTTCGTATCCGAAAAATCCGCGATTCCTGCTCAAATTAAAAGAAAGGCAAACAATTGATAACATAAATGATTCAACGGTGTCAAATTAGATAAAAATCAGAATTTCAGGCCGACCTCAAGCATTCATACACAGGAAATATCTCCGGAGTCTTCTGAATTTTTCGAATTTTTGTGGACTATCCTTCGGAAAATTACACCATTTCCGTCTCTCGAACTTAAACGACTTCAGAATTCGCTATGAAAATTAACCAATGCAACTGAAAAATTCCAAAGAATGGATTGGGATAAAGTTCCAAATGCGCTGAGTCCTTCAATTTAAAAAACAATTTTTTCGATTCGGAAAATCAGCAATTTCGGATCAAATTTACGGAAAGACGCGTAACTGATAACATAAATGGATTCACCGGTACCACCTTAGCTACAACATATATTTGCCTCTCAAGCTGAAAAGAATTCAAAATCCAATCTGAAAATTAACCAAAGTAACTGAAAAACTGAAATCTCGAAACACGTGTCTTTCACTTCCAGAGCTATGAGCCTCCAAACTCAAAAAATGTTATTTAGAAATCGAAAAATTCGGATTTTCGTGTTTTCTCATTAGTTTGGAACATAACTTTCCAATTTTGATGATTTATTTGTAAAATTTAAACCTCTGAATTCATGATAAATTTTAGAAAGCAGTAAATTCCACTTTTCGCAGTTTGGCTTCAACTACAAGGAAAACATACGACTCTGTGTTGTTTGCTTTTATGGGAGTAAGAACCCAAAAGTATAATATATGTAGTGCAAAATAATATTATTCATGACCTAATATTGCAAATCTGGACTGAAATTTTTCTATTTTTATGCAGTTAAAGTAACAATGATTTATACAATCTGAAGTTTTATTTCGATAATAAACTGGATTTATATGAGTACGTGTGAACTAGTGAGTTGTTGTGATTTAGTTTGTAGATGGTGTGATTTAATTCTTGAATATTTCATAGTCTCGAGATATTTAATTAATTACAGTTTTATAGCACTATATAATTAGGTCACTAGATTAAGGCGATAATTTTTTACGTGAGTTCCTTGATTGTTTTCTGGTTTTTGCTCCGCACGACCTACACACAAAGGTTTATCAAAAATCAATAAGCCGTTACAATGACCTATCTATTATTGCGTGTAACCCTCCTCGTCCGCAGTTCACTAGAAATTGCTAAAAACTGTCGAGCATTTAATATAGTTTATTAGGTCACCACGCTGTCATATTTAGGGTAAATCTTCATCCAAGTTAACAACTTTAACTTCCAAAGAGCCTAACTCTAATAAGGGTGCATGAAAATTACTACAGTTTGGCCCACAAATACATTTTAAGTAAAATTAATTGCCACTCTCCCCATTTCCACGCTACCTATGTGCATAACTCAGCTTTGCAACTCCGAACGCTGCAAAAGCATTACAGCAGGAGTAAGTAGCGGAAGCCCGGAAGAAGATACATTAGAGTGACTGTATTCGTTGTACTATGTGGGTTAATGTAACTAATTGCATGCCCTTGTAGACATTCACTCTCCGGTCTGTCCCATCGATATACCGCTGAAATTTGATAAAGTCGAGGAAACGGAACTACTTTGAACACTCGGAGATAATGGCGATAAGACACACACAATCAATCGCATTGTTTACACGAAACACAGAGCTAAGAATGAAAGGTGTTCGTGCTGGGAGATCCCTGATTAACCCAAAATATGATCACGTTTTTATTTACCGAGAATCTTTGCTTAAACCCAATTATTGCCTGGCCGGCACGCAATTTTATTTAATTCACCGCAAGATCGGCCCTTTGCCACATATTGTTAACAGTTTCAGTAAAGGGCCGTAAAAACGGCGATAAGACTAAATGGCCAAACCTAACACTCGACTCCAATCATAAAGAAAAGATTTGTTTAATCTGGTCTCTTTGGAGCGATAGCCCACTAAAGTACCACTATAACCCTGTAATCGACTTCATATAAAATCAGTGGGCTGCGAAGATTGATGGCATTAAGTGGTTGCCGTGGATACAGACGATCTTTGCCGCTAACTTTATTACACACCAATCACCTCTCACACGAACCAGGTTGCCTATAAAAATTAATAAAACCCCGCACAATTAAAGAGTGGCAGCCCTTACTCCCTCAACATGTGGCCGTGACAGCGGAGCCCTAAAGCCGCCCTCACCATAAAAGCCAATGAACTGAGTGTCTAAAATATAACCCTATAGGCACTGTGATTACCTCCTCTGAATCAAACTTTATTTAATCAACTCCACGATCTATAAACTGTAAATTATTTACTCCATATTAAAAACGACAGCTAAGCTAAAAGTGACCTGTTTGAAAAATGTAGCAACTTTTGCATTGCCTAACTGTGAACCACAACAATTGT